AATTTTTAAAAATTATAATAAATAATTAAAAACAACGTTTTATATTTACACAATAAAAACTTTATTGAAGCCGTACGGCTTCCACTTTAAAATAGAAATATCACTTCAATAAAGTTTTTATTGTGTAAATATAAAACGTTGTTTTTAATTATTTATTATAATTTGAAAAAGTGGCTAAATATGTTTGTAAGTTTATGAAGTACTTTCTCCAATATGTTTTGTAACTTTAAAAGTTTTTTAAATTTACATACAGAGTGGTGAAAATTTTAAATGCCTTAGAGAAGTGTAGTCATTCTTTTTTAAATTTCATCTGTTTCACTCTAACCTAGGAACTATAGGTTAATGGTATATATATTACACAGACTGACAAAACATCAACGAATTTTGGTGCTAAAAAATCAGATTCACGTTTCAGATACTTAACTGTGGGACAAGTAAGTTTTGGGCCATCCTGTATCAGCACAACCCTCACGATAACGGGGTCGTACTTATACATAGCTGGGTCTTTTTTTATACTCCAAGCTGTGTTCAGTAGTAGTGTTGTAAATTACTATGTATTGCTTTTTTTTGTGACTTTCACTGTAGCTTGATGACTATTGAGTTGAGTATAAAATACATATAGTTTAATCTCATTTTTATCTTATCTCTGAATTAGAATCAATAGCCTTTATAATAACTGAATATAGATTTATTTCTGGCACAAGTGCAGATTGCGATGGATTATTACAATATTAACTTTACATGAATAAAAATGCCATTAAACTTATTAAAAACGGTTACTAATAGTCATAGTAATTATGAAAGATTGGTGACTAAACATAGTTCATAAATTAAGTAAGCCTTAGATTAGAAAAGACAATTAAACATAGCTCATACTTCAGATGAATACATTTCATAACTTAGTTCACAGCTTAATAAATCAAAGATCACAATTTAGTTAATGCACATTAGAGCACAGTTGAATATAATACCTAATGTAATTAATTAGAGTTAATAATACAAACACCGTCAAACGTAGCTCATCATTCGGTTAAATACAGTTCATAGCTTAATAAAACATATTTAATAATTTAGTTAATGCACATTAGAGCACTGTTAAATATAGTCTATAATTTAATTAGAGCTTATGACACAAACACTGTTCAACGTTGTCCATCATTCGGTTAAATACAGTTCATAGCTTAATAAAACATAGTTAATAATTTAGTTAATGCACATTAGAGCACTGTTAAATAAAGTCTATAATTTAATTAGAGCTTATGACACAAACACAGTTCAACGTTGTCCATCACTCAGTTAAGCTGTAGCTCACAACACTGTAAAGTACAAATCTTTCTGTTAAATAGTAAAACAAACGCACTCATAATTCAATAAAGCATAATTTATTACTCAGTGAAACATACTTCATTATCAAAATAAAATAATTTGATAATATTAATATCTGTAAGCATTAATACGCATTTGTTTTTCAAAGGTAGTTAGTTTAAATAGTGTACACATGGTATAGATTGGCTAATGGACTGCTAAAAGACCAACTCCATTATTGGACCATTAATCAAACATATATGTGTCATTAAGTTGTGGAAATTTAG